CCCTCGAGCCTCGAGCCTCGAGCCTCGGTCCTCGAGCCTCGAGCCTCGAGCCTCGAGCCTCGAGCCTCGAGCCTCGAGCCTCGAGCCTCGAGCCTCGATCCCCGGACCTCGTCTGGGCAGCTTCTCTGGCTCGGTGGCAAGGGGGGGCCGCCGCTGGGAGGGTCACCAGCTCCTCCCGGAAGCCGAAAGCCCAGGATCGAAGCTCGAGGGGTCCCTAGACGCCAGGGCGAAGTCGGGCATGTCGCTCCACAGGGGGAGTATTCAAGCATGGCATGGTAAAGAATCATAGGGGGCCTTTTTTGTTGTTGTTTGTTGTTGTAATTGTTGTTGTTGTTGTTGTTGTTGTTGTTGTTGTTGTTGTTGTTGTTGTTGTTGTTGTTGTTGTTGTTGTTGTTGTTGAACACTATTACTTCTAAAGAATTATTATTGTTGGACCCCCTGGTGCACGCCCCCCGCCCAAAACCTAGGCCGCAGCTACATTTTCATCATTTTTCTGCGAAAGCTTCAGAAAAGTGGATTACCCCCGGATCCGGTTTTTTGTTGACGCTCGTTTTCCCTTGCAAAAAACAATAGAAAATGAAAATTCTTGTTCTTAGTTGATCAAATTTCAAGAATCCCTTGCAAAAAATAAGGTAAAGTGGACATTCGCGCTCGCAAGACGAAATCCTTCCAAAACCTTAGGTTTCGTAGCGATTTTAACATAAAAACATCAAAAACCCAATGGTTTTTTAAGAAAAAATTGTCAAAATGTCCTTCCGCGCGCTCTTGCGGATTCATAGGAAACACACCACTTTTTAAACATTTCTGTCAAAAGGGTGTAACACATGTACTTCTGTAATCGCATCCCCACGAATTTGCCCCAAAAATGTGACCAACTATCTTGGCACTGCGTACCATCTCACGTGTACCGTGTACCACATCATATGTAACAGATGTGATCAACCTCTGTGGGTGTGTACCCCACGCCAGTGTCGTAGCCAGGGTCGTCCGCACGCCACGAAGTGAAGTGTCCCAACGTCATAGGGCGGGAAGCTGGGTGTGGGTGGTCTCGAAGAGTCGTTTGGATATTTGGTAGAGCTTGAACGGCCCCCCCACGAAGTGGGGTATTGGCTGGTGTCGCAAGAAAACCCTGGCACTGGGGAGAACACTGAGCGTTCGGGTAAAATGATTGTTGTTGTTGTTGTTGTTGTTGTTGTTGTTGTTGTTGTTGAACATTATTTATTCTAAAGAATAATTATTGTTGGGACCCCTGGTGCGCGGCCCCCTCGCCGCGCCTAGGCCGCAGCCACATATTCATCATTTTCGTGAGGAAGTCTCAGGCAAAACGTGGGTGTCCGGATCCGGTTGTTTTGTTGTCCCCCGTTTTCCCTTGCAAAAAAATAAGCTAAAGTGGACATTTCTTGTTCTAACATAACCAAACTTCAAGAATCCCTTGCAAAAAATAAGGTAAAGTGGACATTCGCGCGCGCAAGACGAAATCCTTCCAAAACCTTAGTTTTCGTAGCGATTTTAACATAAAAACATAAAAACCAATGGTTTTTCAAAAAAAAAAAAAAAATTGCCGAAATTTCATCCCGCGCGCTCTTGCGGATTTGTAGGAAACCCAACACTTTTTAAACATTTCTGTCAAACGGGCTTTTGGCGTGGTTTCCTATTCTAGCGTCAGGAACACGTTACCACCAAAAACCAGTACAGGTGTCCAGTGTTGGAACAGGGGGAAAAGTCGTATACTAAGCTAGCGTCCAGAAAATGTTACCACAACAAGTCACTGTACCCATGCGCCAGTGTAGTAGCCACGGTCGTCCGCAGGCCACGAAGTGACGTGTCCGAACGTCATAGGGCGGGAAGCTGGGTGTGGGTGGTGGCGAAGAGTCGTTTGGAAATTTGGTAGAGCTTGAACCGGCCCCCCCACAAAGTGGGGGTATTGCCCGCCTCCTATGAAAACCCTGGCACTGGTGAGAACGGAGTGTCCCCAGTCTTAAATGATTGTTGTTGTTGTTGTTGTTGTTGTTGCTGAACATTATTACTTCTAAAGAATAATTATTCTTGGGACCCCTGGTGCACGGCCCCCCGCCGAGCCTAGGCCGCAGCTACATTATTTCAATCATTTTTTCGCCCCCCTAAAAGCTTCAGTAAAAGTGGATGGGGTTCCAATCGGTTGTTTTGTTGTAATCCGTTTTTCCTTGCAAAAAAACACTATAAAATGACATTTCTTGTTCTAATATAATCAAATTTCAAGAATCCCTTGCAAAAAATAAGGTAAAGTGGACATTCGCGCGCGCAAGACGAAATCCTTCCAAAAGCTTAGTGTTCGGAGCGATTTAAACATAAAAACATCAAAAAACCAATGGTTTTTCAACAAAAAAATGTCAAAATATCATCCCGCGCGCTCTTGCGGATTCGTAGGAAAACCAACACTTTTTAAACATTTCTGTCAAACGGGCTTTTGCGAGCAACTTTTTCGAACTTCTGCGACAACGGTTGCGCACCTGCCAGGGCCATCATCCCTGTCAAATAATACCATGCGGACACATTCGTTTTTTCTTCGCGCGCGCACGCCGAAATCTCCAAAAACCATTGGGCTTCTTAAGAATTTTAGCACCGCGCATCATAAAATCACACGAATCGCACCGTAGGTCCTCAAAAAACACCTGCACGACTTTTCAAAATTTCCACCCGCGCGCGCTGTCCGAATCCTAAAACAACCAATGGTTTTCCAACATTTATGTTACATGAGCTCGCGCGAGCTAATTTCGCACGCTCTTGCAACGGGGTTCGCGCGCCTGCCAGGGGCCATAATCCCTTGCGGTTGCGCCATAGGTTGCGCCCTCGCGCCAGTGTAGTAGCCACGGTCGTCCGCACGCCACTAAGTGAAGTGTCCCAACGTCATAGGGCGGGAAGCTGGGTGTGGGTGGTCGCGAAGAGTCGTTTGGATATTTGGTAGAGCTTGTAGTGCCCCCCCACGAAGTGGGGGTATTGCCTGGTGTCGTATGAAAACCCTGGCACTGGGGAGAACACCACGCGTTCGGGTAAAATGATTGTTGTTGTTGTTGTTGTTGTTGTTGCTGTTGTTGTTGTTGTTGAACATTATTACTTCTAAAGAATAATTCTTGTTGGGGCCCCTGGTGCACGGCCCCCTCGCCGCGCCTAGGCCGCAGCCATGTTTTCATCATTTTCGTGAGGAAGTCTCCGGCAAAACGGGTTGGTCCGGATCCTGTTGTTTTGTTACGGGCGGTTTTCCCTTGCAAAAAATAAGGCAAAGTGGACATTTCTTGTTCTAACATAACCAAACTTCAAGAATCCCTTGCAAAAAATAAGTTAAAGTGGACATTCGCGCGCGCAAGACGAAATCCTTCCAAAACCTTAGTGTTCGTAGCGATTTTAACATAAAAACATCAAAAAACCAATGGTTTTTCAAAAAAAAAGTGTCAAAATTTCATCCCGCGCGCTCTTGCGGATTTGTAGGAAACCCAACACTTTTTAAACATTTCTGTCAAACGGGCTTTTGCGAGCAACTTTTCACGTGCTTCGAACTTCTCCAACAACGGTTGCGCACCTGACAGGGCCATCATCCCTGTCAAATAATACCATGCGGGACACATTCGTTTTTTCTTCGCGCGCGCACGCCGTCGTCGTCGGCCGCGGGGCCCTGAATAGTAGCCACGGTCGTCCGCATGCCACGAAGTGAAGTGTCCGAACCTCATAGGGCGGGAAGCTGGGTGTGGGTGGTGGCGAAGAGTCGTTTGGAAATTTGGTAGAGCTTGAACCGGCCCCCCCCACAAAGTGAGGGTATTGCCCGCCTCCGATGAAAACCCTGGCACTGGTGAGAACGGAGTGTCCCCACGTGCTAGTAATTGTTGTTGTGTTGTTGTTGCATTGCTGTTGTTGTTGCAGGTTGTTGTATTAAGAGTTGTTGTTGCTGTGGTTGTGGTTGCAGTTTGTTGTAGTAGTGTGTTGTGGTTGTTGTTGTGTTGTAATTGTTGTGGGCTGCGTTGTTGCTGTTGCTGTTGTGTTGTTGTTGTTGTTGCAGTTGTATGTGGTGGTAGGTGTATCGTCGTAGTAGTAGTAGTAGTTGTTGTTGTTGTTGTGCTGCTGCCTCTTTTGTTGTTGTTGTTGTTGTTGTTGTTGTTGTTGTTGTTGTTGTTGTTGTTGTTGTTGTTGTTGTTGTTGTTGTTGTGTTGTTGTTGTTGTTGTTGTTGTTGTTGTTGTTGTTGTTGTTGTTGTTGTTGTTGTTGTTGTTGTTGTTGTTGTTGTTGTTGTTGTTGTTGTTGTTGTTGTTGTTGTTGTTGTTGTTGTTGTTGTTGTTGTTGTGTTTTTTGACTATTTTTCCTGTTCCTCCCGAATCCACCTGTGGGAGGACATGCCCGACCGAACGCCAGGGCTCTTGTTGGAAGGCCCTGGCGTGCTCCTGGGGGCCCCCGCCCTCGAGGCCAGTGGCGCCTCCCTCGATCCACAGCCGCCTGCCGGCCAGCACCGCGGAGGCGTCCAGCACCGCCCCCCCCTCCTCCTCCTCCCCCCCTTCTCCGCCTCCCCTCTCCTCCCCCTCCTCCTCCTCCTCCTCCCTCCCCCCCTCCTCCCCTCCTCTCCGCATCCTTCCCTCTCTCCAAGCGGACTGCAGGACCTTCTCCCTGCCCCCACGAAGGACCTTCTCCAGCACCGCGCCAGCAGTGGGGATCCAGAGTGGGCGAGTCCAATTATGCAGGCCCGCCCGCTGAGCAAGAGTACGCTTCGCGAATAGGCCACCAGGAGTCTTGTGATCGCTGGGAATAAGGGAAAATTGCGAGCCGGCCACGCGCAGAGGGGGGTAGGGGGAGGGGGGAAGGCTTCTTAGAAGCACCCCTGCTTCTTAGAAGGTGCGGGCCTTCTCTGTAGATGTAAGGCCGGCGCCTTCTAAGAAGCAGCCTCCTTCTAAGAAGCCTTCCCCCCTCCCACTACCCCCTTCTGCTCGCCGCCAAGCGAACCCCCTAGTGGCGACCCTTTTTGGCACTGCCCCAGCCGAGGTTCACAGCGGGCTCCAGGCTCGTGCTCCACTACGCCGCGTGCGGCGACGTCCCGCCGCCCTCTGGCGGGAAGGCTGCGACCCTTCTGTCGATCTGAGGCGTCGCCGCCGGCGTCGCCGCTGGTGTCGCAGTGCCTCGCACGGCGGACGGAAGTACTCGAGCGGAGGAGGAGGAGGAGGAAGAGGAGGAGGAGGAGGAGGAGGAGGAGAAGGAGGAGGAGGGGGAGGGGCGGGGGAGGGGGAGAAAGAGTAGGAGTAGGAGGAGGAGGAGGAGGAGGGGGAAGAGGGTGCAGATGATGATGCTGATGCTGATGCTGGTGCTGATGCTGATGCTGCTGATGACGATGATGCTGCTGCTGCTGCTGATGATGATGATGATGATGATGATGAATGTGGTGGTGGTGGTGATGATGAGGAGGAGGGGAAGCTCGATGATGATTCTGATTCTGATGATGAGGAGGAGGATGAGGAGGAGGAGGAGGATGGGTAGGATGAGGGCGAGAGGTGGAGGAAGATGAGGAACAGGGGAAGAGGATGAATCCGATTCTGATGATGACGAGGATGATAATGGTGATTGTGATGATGCTGATGATGGTGATGATGATGATGCTGAAGATGACGATGATGATGACGATGATGATGACGATGATGATGTGATGCTGCTGCTGCTGATGATGATGGTGATGGTGACAGCGTTGGCAATGGCAATGGCGATGGTGATGGTGATGACGATGACGATGATGACGACGACGATGATGATGATAATGATGATGACGACGATGCTGCTGCTGATGCTGACGATGCTGATGATGCTGAGGCTGAGGGGTGATGATGATGCTGCTGATGATGATATTGAGGGTAATCTTGGTATTCGTAGCATGCCTCATAATGATGATGTTGATGCTGGTCATTGTGAGGACTACTTACGCAGGCCGAAAGATTTTCCTCTTGAGCCCCACATGTCGGAAACGACGCGCCGATCCCCTCTGTTCTCCTCCCACCTTCTCTTGCCTCTTCCCTAATCCTTCCCCTCTTCATCCTGGGAAGACCCCCCTCCCCCGTAGAATCATAGCATGGGTCTGCAGATCCACAGCTCCGTGGATAAGCATGATGCTTCACTTGCGGTGCTCCGCGGATCCCATTTCCCCTGGGTCCCGGATGTTTATTATTATTATCATTGTAGACTTATTCCCGGGAAATAAATGGATCCATCGTTTTTTAACACACAGGAAATTGGATCCGCGCAACACAGAAATAGGATCCACGAAACTCTCCCACACCCGAAAAGGGATCCAATTGGATCCATTGGTGTTTTCATATTTTTAGTCCAGGAGGAAAACACTCGGCCTGGGGATGTATGCTGACAATGACGACGATGATGGTGATGGTGATGCTGCTGACGATGCTGATGCTCATGGTGCTGATTGTGATGATGATGATGCTGATGATGAGGAGGATAATGATGATGAGGATGGGGATGAAGATGTTGATGATGATGCTGCTGATGATGATGATGATGCTGATGTTGATGATGCTGCTGATGATGCTGCTGATGATGATGCTGCTGCTGGTGATGATGCCGGTGATGCTGATGATGACTATGATGACGACGATGTTGATGTTGTTGATGATGAGTGTGGTGCTGACTGTGATGATGATGATGATGATGATGATGATGATGATGATGGTGATGGTGATTGTGATGGTGATGGTGATGGTGATGGTGATGGTGATGGTGATGGTGATGGTGATGATGATGATGATGATGCTGATGATGATGATGATGATGATGATGATGATGATGATCATGATGAACAAGCCGAGGCCACACGCCACACCGCCCGCGCCGAGGCACCGGCAGGCCCCGTTGGCAGGTGGGTCCAAGGCGGGGATTTATCCATAACCGCCGCTGGGGGGGATCGATCGTCGCGGACCTCCACAGGCGGTGGATATGGATCTGTTCGGGCCCCCAGGGGCCAAGATGTATCCATATCCACCGCTCGCTGGGGCACCAGGGCGTCACTTCCCAGGCGGTGGATATGGGGGAATCCCCGCCTCACCGTGGGGTCGATGGACCATCGCTCCGCATCGCCGATGCATTCGCGATGTTTGGAGCGATTCCTCGACCCCATCCACTCGGACCCCATTCGAGAGGCTTTTACTAGTGCAGGAGATGTACTGCTGCACCTGCCCACTCGTGCCGACAGCCAGGGTCCGCCCCCTTCGGTGCGGCACCGCCCCCACTGCCCTCTCGCGCCCACTCGCGCCCCTACGGCCACTCGCGCCCACTCGCCCCCACTGCCCCTAAAAGGTGCTGGCACTGCCCCCTCGCGCCCCTCGTGCGCCGCAGTGGGGGCGACTTCCAGCCCAGACGCGGCAGACGGGCGCTCGCGGGCTCGTCTGCGCGCACCCCCCACGCGTGGCGCGACTGGGACGCTCCACAGCGGGGCTTCGCGTGCCGAAACCTCCACTCTTGCCGTCCAACGCCGCACGCCCTCGTGCCCCCTGACGCGCACGCTTGGCAAGGGCCTCTTACCGTGGCGTCCCTGTGGGTCCGACCGATCCGCTTCGACGTCCGCTTCGATTTCCACATTCCCGCACGAGACGCGTCGGCCCGGAGCTCTGCACGGCGCCGTCGTGTATCCTGGCGCGCGGCCCACCCGGTTGGATCTCGATGCCGTGCCGGCGCGGCCCGATGCGATGCACGCTTCGGTTCGGCGCCGACGGATCCTGCCTGCGCGGCACTGCCTGCTTGGAGTTCGTCGCCAGAGCCGCTGGGCTCACCAGAGGGAGCGGGCACCCCAGAGGCAGCACTGCAGGGATGCCCGGCTTTGGGAGCCTCTTGTCCTCGAGCTGTCTAGGGGAGCTCGAGCTGCGGTGGGGGGTGCTGGTCAAGGGATGTGCCCAGCCCAGGACGCGTCAGACCCTGTGGATTCCTCATTCGATGAGGGCGTTAGTGCTATCTATGGCCAATCCACGATGGGAGTCCCACCAGCTTTCAGACCCTGGGTTCCTTATCCAAGGGTTCCTTATCCAATGCCCTGACTGTACCGGTGGTGCAGGACCGGCAGGGGTAGCAGTAGAAAGACTGGAAGCAGCACTTCGAAGAAGAGCAAACTGCACAAGCATAACCAGTCGGAAGTCCGCGCTGATTTCTTGGATCGTCGCTGGATCCGCTTCCCTAACGCGCGGAGCGCGCTAGGGGCTGCGCCAGAGCCCCCGCTAGGGGTTCCAGCGGCCAGCGCCGATCCGAGACATCCTTGCGGATGTCCGAACGTTTGATTTTATGCAGTTTTTGCTCCTCCAGTAGCGCTGGTAGTCGCAATGCCAGGGCCGGTGGGGCCACAGCTGGGGTCATTCGTACCAGTCTCTGCGGCGGTAGCCGTCGCCTTCCACGGCGAGTTAGGTGTCCTTTCGGTAGCCTTGCCCTCGTGTAGTGTCTCCTCCATTGAGGAGGGTGCAGGTGATGGCCTCACCCCCCAGGCAGCGCTGCAGTTTTTTGTTTCACAGCACCCCGCTCTTGCAATTCTTGCCGCTCTGGCCCGTGCGCTCCCACCTTTGCTTATTCAGTTTGTTTCTGCGGCTCGAGCCAGGCCCGCCTTTCCTGTGATGCTCGGGAACGCGGAGCGGGTGCCACCACTGTGCCTACCACGGATCAGCAAATGGAAGTTTGTGCTTGTATTCGAGTGCGCATCATGCATGCATGTACGTGTGTGTGTGTGTATATCTAGGCCTCGCAATTGCGGGGAAGAGAGAGGGGAAGCCCGGGCACACGTTCACGCGCATTCGCACACATTCGCACACATTCACACACACACACATTCGTACACGACAGGAGCGCTTGCGGAAATTGGCTCTTCGGCTCCCCAGGCGGGAGCAATCCCTGCAGAATGAGGACCCCTTGCGTCATTCGCTGTTCATGAGATTCATAGGCATGTTGCTGGCGCGTGGATTTTGAACACCAGTTCTGTGCAACCCGTGTGGAGCAATCGGTCGGGTGCAATCTTTGATCTTCGTGGCTCAATGTGTGAATGGGGAGGGGTGGCGGTGGAGGCACTGGTAGGACTGTATCCCTGAGGACCTTATTGTCTGACCGCACACAGGGCAATCCCAAGGGGGACAACATTATCTGACCGCGCATAAAGTGAAGTCCTTAAGTGACCCCACCATCTGACCACAGGCACGGGAATCCGCAGGGGCGGGGACATCATCTGACCACTCATCATGAAACCGTTATGCCCTATGGGGTCACCGTGCATCGTGTGATGAACACATGCGAAAAGTACCCGTGCGGGAGAAATAACGTTCGCAGCCGGGAAGTCGCGGGAAGCTGACTTCTAGTCGTGGTGGCTTGTGTATTCAAAGTCGAGCTCCCATCCCCAAAATTGCACGGGGCACATTTCAGTAAGTACGAAGTAGCTCACCAAACGGATCTTCGTACATGTCGAGTAACATGCACACCAGCTGAAGACGTTGGATACGCTTGAATCAATTCAAGCGATAGCCTAACAGCGCTCACAATCCATCACTTTTCTACAGGTGGAGGGTTACGTCTTGCCATCTGCTGTTTTTTTTGTTTACTTTACACCAGGAGCCCATGCGCAGGTGTCAGCGTTACAACTGCAAGCATGTGGCGGTCTACGCCGGCTCTTCTGGTCTTCTTCTCGATTGCCACAACTTTTAGAATGCTCATGGGTTATATCACGCCACGAGCAGACTGTTTAGGCGAGGTGGAGCTCGCCATCCCATCTTGTTGCCAGCAGCGACGGCAGAGCCAATGCTACTGGCAAAGCTAGAATACAAGTGCCTCGCCCCGCAGCCATTGATAGAGTGTGAAGCTGACGCAGGTCATCTTCAGCGTTCCGCCTGGCAGCAGTCCAGGCTAACGGTGCGTTTTATTGTCCGTATTCCGCTTGGCAGCAGTCTAAGCGAGTTGTGGACGCGTCAGCTCACTTCATCCGCATTCATGTTGCCAGCAGTGAACGGTGCTGGTGAACGGTGTCTCCTGCTCGCTCCTCCTTATTGGTCCTACGAGTCCTCTGGGCACTTCAGTGGCGACGGCAATTGACCACGGAACTGAGGGGTCCGTCGATTTGCGGCGGCCAACTCTCGGAGGGCACCAACTATACACCAACACCGATCCTGGCCCAGGATCACATTGGGCCCATGATCGGTGTATATGCCTTCTTGCCCAAGGCAGGAGGGCGTATACACCGATCCTGGGCCCAGGGTAATCCTGGCCAGGATCGGTGTTGGTGTGTAGTTGGTGCCTTCCTAAACTCACTCAGCTGAGCTGTTGTGGACGATTGCTTGCGCTGAAGAAGGACGAGCTTCTCAAGCGCACAGGTGCCAGTTGTGGCCCCGCGGTGACGCCCGCATCTGCCAGTTCTCAAAGTTCGTGCGGGCGAGGCCCATCGCTTGTTAGCGTTGAGATCAGTCTCACTCCGTTGCCCGACTTGCTGAGGTAGAGTTGGCGTGGACTGCACATGCGTTCGAAATCACAAGACACTGCGATACAACGTCAAAGCTCAGTCTTTAGGATATGGTCGTCTTCGTTGTCAACGGGCAGCACCGGTTGCGCTTCGACGGCTGGTTTCATGTTCTCGGCCCCAGGAGATGCTGTTCTTTTCACTTATTGTTGACAGGAAGGGCTGTGCCCTCGGCTGCCGGTCCCCCAGGCTGAGCCATCTTGTGGCTAGATTGCGACAGGTTTGTCTTCGGCCTTCTTGGAGCCTCTCGAGGGCATCTTGGGGCCTGTCGGGCTAGTGTCAGGACGTCTTGGGCAATCTTGGGGTTATCTTGGCGCCTCTCTGGCCCCTCTTTTGGGGGCCTCTTGGTGGCATCTGGGCTATCCTGGGGCCTTGTTGAGCCATTCTGGCTGATCTGGGCGGCATCTTGGGACCTGGCCAGACTACCGGGCGCCCGTCTTGAATATCTCTTAAGACATCTTAGAGCAAACCATGAAGCAGATAATAACATGGCCCTTATGTTCATTGTGGACTTTCTATTCCTTGCCATAGACACTGCCTGCTTGTGAATTGGCATGTGTGCTGCGCTGCTTTACTTTCCCTCTGGCACTGCTTAGCTGTATTACTTGGCGCGGGGGTTTAGCATTTCCCAACCATCCTGTGGTGTTGGGTCCTCGTTTTGAAGAAACAGCGGCCCGCGTTCCTCCTCCTCCTCCTCCTCTTCTCTTTTTCTCCTCTTCCTCCTCCTCCTCCTCCTTCTCCTCCTCCTCCTCCTCCTCCTCCTCCTCCTCCTCCTCCTCCTCCTCCTCCCCCTCTTCCCTCCTCTTCCCATCCCTGCCTCTGCCCTCCGCACCAGTCAACCATCTCGGTGCATCGCTCACACGTCTCGTGGCCCCATAGGGAGCTCCACCGACCGTCGCCCCATAGGGAGCTCCACAGAAGGCTCAACTTGCAGAGTTTGCACGGCGGCAGTGCGCCTATTTCGGTACACTGCTCACACGTCTCGTGGCCCCATAGGAGGCTCCTTCGAAGGCCCAAATGGTAGGGTTCGCATGGCGGTTCCGTGGCCTCATAGGGAACTCCACGCAAAGTCCAAATTCCAGTGTTCGCATGGCGGGACCGCTCCCATGTCGTTACGCCCCTGCACGTTTTGTGGCCCTCATCCGCGCTGAACCAGCCAGCCAGTCAGCAAGCCAGCCCCAGGTTTCATCCCTTTCGCGACGCGCTAGTTTCGGGTTTCGGGCAGAGGGTCATACCTTGCGTTACTCGCAGCGGCATGTGGACGAGTCTTTCATCAGGCTATTTTTGTTCCCAACCATCCTTGTGTTGGGTCGTCGGTTTGAAGAGACAGCACCCCGTGTTCCTCCTCCTCCTCCTCCTCACTCCTTCTCCTCCTTCTCCTCCTCCTCCTCCTCCTCCTCCTCACTCCTCCTCCCTCCTGCCTCCTCTCATCCCTGCCTCTGCCCTCTGCATGCCACCACCAGTCATCACCAACATTATCGTCATCATTACCGTGGTCATCCAACCCATTTCGGCACACCCCTCACACGTTTCGTGGCCCCATAGGGAGTTCCACTGAAGGCCCCAGTGGGTGTGGCCACATGCGTCCGCCACACTCATGTGGGCACACCCCTCACACGTTTCGTGGCCTCATAGGGAGCGCCACCCAAGGCCCCAGTGTGTGTGTGTGTGTGTGGCCACATGCGTCCACCACACCCATGTCCGCACACCCCTCGCACGTTTCGTGGTGGCCTCATATGGGGTTCCACCTGAGTCACAAGTCGCAGCCACATGCGTCCGTCGCACCCAATTCGCACACCCCTCACGCGTTTCGTGGTCCCATAGGGAGATTCACCTAAGGCCCCAGCGGGTGTGGCCACCTGCGTCTGCCACACTCACTTCGGCACACCCCTCACTCGTTCCATGGCCCCATAAGGAGCTCCACCTGAGGCCCCAGTGGGCGTGGCTACATGCGTCCGCCACACTCACTTCGGCACACCCCTCACGCGTTTCGTGGTCCCACAAGGGGGCTCCACCTGAGGCCTCAGTGGGCGTGGCCACATGCGTCCACCACAAGCCTGTCGGCACACTCCTCACGCGTTTCGTGGCCCCATAGGGAGCTCCATCTAAGGTCCCAGTGGGTCTGGCCACATGCGTCTGCCACACTAATTTCGGCACGCCCCCTCACACGTTTCGTGGCCCCACCTGCTGCCCCAGTTGGGTGTGGCCACACTCGTCCGCCACATTCTTTTCGGCACTCCCCTCGTGCGTTTCGTTGCCCCATATGGGGCTCCAGCTAATGCCCCCAGTGGCGCAGCCCGCAGGCGTCTGCGCTGCTCAGTTCAGCACACCCCCTCACACGTCTCGTGACCCCATATGAAGCTCCACCCAAGGCCCCCCAGTGGCGACATCAGCATGCGCCCGCGCCGCCGATTCCGGCACACTCCTCACACGCTTCGTGGCCCCATGGGGATCGTCACCCAATTCCACAGTGGCGACGTCCGCATCCGTCCGCGCCGCCCGCTGCGGCACACCACTCACACGTTTCGTGGCCCCATAGGGAGCTCCCTCCACGGCCCTAAAGAAGCAGCCCGCATGCGTCAGCCCCACTCATTTCGGCACACCCTCACACGTTTCGTGGCTCCATAGGGAGCAACGCCCCGGTGGCGGCGTCCGCATGCTTCCGCGCCGCACATTTCGGCACATCCCTCACCCGTTTCTCAAACCACTGTTTTTTCCCCAAGTTTTGAAGAGACAGCGCCTCGCGTGTCCCGCCTCTTCCTACTTGTCCTGCTTCCTTCCCTCCTGTCTTGGCCTCTGCCATCCGTATGTCTCACTTATTTCTGCTTCGGCGCACCCCACGAACGTTGAGGCTCCACTTACTGTCCCAATGGCCAGGTTCGCATGGCCCCACCGCACCCTCGGCGCGTTCCTCACGCGTGCCGTGGCCCCTTCAGGGGATCTCCACCGAAGGCCGCAGTAGCAGGATTCGCATGGCGTCACCGCAGCTATTTCGGCACACCCAGCTCACGCTTTGGCACCACAGGGAAGTTCCAACGACGGCCCTTGTGGCAGGGTTCGCATGGCCTTTGTGGCGCATCACCAAACCCGACACACCCCTCACGCGGATCGTGGCCCTATATGGAAGTTCTACCGAAGGCCCCGGTGGCAGGGCTCGTATGTCAGCATCGCACCCGACTCGGCACACCCAACTCACGCTTCGTGGCCCCATAGGGAGCTCCACCAAAGGCCCCGGTGGCGGGGTTCGCACGGCGGCACCGCACACCCAACTCACGCTTCGTGGCCCCATGGGGAGCTCCACACAAGTCTGCAGTGGCCGGGTTTGCATGGCGGCACCGTGCCCATGTCGGCACACTCCACACACGTCTCGTGGCCCCACAGGGAGCTCCACGCACGGGCCTGGTTGGCACGCCCGCATGGCGGCACTGCGCCCATGTCGGCGCACCCCGCACGCGCTTCGTGGCTCCGCGGGGAGCGCCGCCGCGTACGGTCTCGGTGGGCGCGGCCGCAGGGCGGCGCCGCGCACGTGTCAGCACACCCCGCCCTCGCTGCGTGGCCCCCTCGGGAGTTCCACCGAGGGCCCCAGTGGGTGCGTTCACGCGCGGCGTCCCCGCCCATTTCGGCGCGCACGCCCTCGCGCGCTTCGTGCTCGCATGGGGGAGCTCCGCCTGCGGTCCCAGTGGGCGCGTGCGCATGCGACCCCGCCACGTGCGGCACACCCCTCGCACGCTCCGCGGTCCCGCAGGGAGCTCCAGCCCAGGCCCGAGCAGGTGCGTCCACAGGCGGCCCCCCCCCGCCCATTTCGGCAAACTTAGGGGCACGAAGGATGACATAAACATGAAAACTCGGAGGTCCGTGCGGATCTCTCGGATCGGCGCTGGACCCCCCTCCCTGGCGCGCGGAGCGCGCCAGGGGCGGCGCCGGAGGCGCAGCGAGGGGGGTCCAGCGCCGATCCGAGAAATCCGCGCTGACCATCCGAGTTTTTCTGTTTATGTCATCCTTCGTTCCCGTAGTCACTCCTCACATGTTTCGCGCCCCAGAGGAAGTTCAGCACTTCCTCTGGGGCGCGAAACATGTGGTGCTGAGCGATTAATCAAAATCATGATGTGACACGAGCTGTGTACGAGCGGTGTGTCGTGCTGAACTGTGCAGCACGCCCCAGCCCCCTTCCCACACCTGCCGGTCGGCGCGCCGATCTCTATGGCGAGAGGGCGGCGCCCTGCGCTGCACATTTATCTGCGTAGGGGTAGCAGCGGTAGTCTTGCGCGCCCCGTATGACACCCGTGGGTTTCGGGGGTGGACAGAACCCCCAACAGTGACACGTCGATTAGTGAATTGTCCGTTTTCGGTTCTCGAGAGGGCGCCGTGGCCGTTATTTTCCAGGCTTGCGCCCGCCAGGTTTGGGCCTCAGGTCGTTTTCACTAAACCACGTTTTACTAACGGGGGGTCTGTCCATCCCCGAGGGTTGCGGGAGCTTGGCTCAGGGGCGGTGGTAATACCGTTTTCGGGCCGATGGTGTCTCGCGCGTTCTTGAAGCGTCGAGGGTCCCACCTTCACATAGACGGGTCAGCTGTGTGCTCCGAGTGCTGATGGCAGGAAAGCGCGTCTGCCACGCTGCGAAGCTCATGAGGAGACCTGTGCAATGCTGCGACCGGCCTTACTGCGGTGATGGGAGCTGGATTGTTCGGCTGCTGAAGCGCGAACCTCGCAGCCTGAAGGGCGGTCCCCGCAGGGGAGGCCAGCGGATCAGTGCTGCCAATCTCCGTTTGACCTGTAGTGGCACCTCACACGTCTATTGCGGACGAGGCAGCTTGATGCAGGTATGTTCCATCAGCCGTCGTGGTAGCCCTTTCTCCAGATGTCGGTTGTCCTCTCCCCTGCCTCCACCTCGTCCTCACGTCACCTCTCCGTTGTCACTGCAGTTGCCCCGTTTTTCTGACAAGCTCCGTGGGCGAATCGTTTTCTGTCCGATGGTGTCTTGCGTGCTTCGCAGTGATCCAGTGGATGCAGTGGTTGCTTGGTATTGCCCCTTCTCTACAGCTTTTGTCCCCCTCCTCCCTGGCCGTTTTGTGCGATCAGTAGCGGAAGGCGTTCATATCATAGCTCGAGTTGGTTGTGGGGCACGCGGGTGCCATATCTGAGGCACGCCCTCGCGCGCGCTCTCCCGAGGAGCACCGAGACCCTCTGCCCATCGAGATTGAGGACCTCGACAACGGTCAGTACGAGGTCCGCTACGTTGGAGAGGTGGACCACCCGTCACGGTAGCGTTACGTCGGGCATGTCCCTCTACAGGAGGAGTATTCATTAATAGTCAACGATCGTCTTATGACGACTTTCCGTTCATGTTTTCAGCTGTTTTCGATACTTTTGATTCTTATCTTCCAAAATCGGCTTAGGACGAGCACATGCCCGACCTGAGGGTAGCACAGGGCAGCGCTCTTCATCGTCGTGGCGGCCTGATCGCTTGCCTTCTGTTGTGGACGACGATCAATGGATAGGAACCATGTTGCCAAATAACTTCCAGATGTCGTCAACATGTTTAACATGTGTAGGACACATTTTCAATGTTGTAGAACATTGTCAAACGTTTAAACACATGTTTCATTCAACGATAGGACTGTTAGGGTGTCCACTGTCATGGCATCCACAAGCCTTGTGTGAGCCCTGATTCGTCGGTCATCTCGGTAGGCTGCCCAGGATTGGCCTTTGCCCACCGGGTCGCCCAGCCCGTTCTCTTGGCTCGACATGCTCTTGTCGATGCGGCGCCGACTGTTCCCGAGTTCGGCCTTGCCCAAGACGGAGCTCGAGATCCCCTTCGTGCCAGAGGGCGGCAACCATCTGGGCTATCCTCCAGAGTCCCCTGGCCCAGACATCCGGCGCTCCAATTTTTTCGCTGCGTGGACCTCCAGAGGTCGGGACCATTTCCCTGAGCTCCCGCTTCTCGTCCTGGATCGTGTGTGACGGGCCCGGGGCCCGTTGAGGGCCCCCAGAGGCCGAGAATACAGTAGCCCCAAACAGGCCGCTTTAGTTTTTTCGGAGCATCGGATCTCTGGGAATTCCTTGGGGTTCCCTGGGATTCCTTGGGCTTTCCTGGGATTCCTTCGGGTTCCCTGGGGTCCCCAGGGGTTTTCCGGGCTTCCCTGGGGGCCCTTGGGGTTCCCTGAGGTTCCCCAGGAATTCCCCAGGCCTCCCCGTACTCTACTCGGGGTCCACGGGGTGTCCCCCCTGGTGTTTCTCCCAGGTTTTCCCAAGGGGATCCCTGGTTGCTACGCACTTCGATGCAACACCATACGCCTTACCGTGAGATGCAAAGCAATATTATGGTCCAACAAGCAATGCGGGGACTTGGTTCTCACGTTCACATCGGAGCCGCGCATATTTTGCCGCATCGTTGCTGGGGTCCTTTGGTGCTACGTGCTCGTCCTCACCATGATCGCGGGGCTCATCATCGAGTCCAGCCCTTCTCAGCCCAGTTCAGTCCATGCGCATTCCATTTCATTCCAGCACAGACCAGCTTTGTTCAGCTCATCCGATTCCTGCTGGAGCGAATGGCACTCGGTCAACTTTCGTCCAGCTCAGTGCTGGGCTGCCCAGACCTGCCTGAGGCAACGCGCAAGACGACTCAGGAATATTGGCACTGCAGGTGCGCAGCCTGCAGGAGTGCTACGTATGTCTGAAGCAGCTGGCACGGTCATGTGTGCCGCGTCTGCCGCCGCGTGGCGGGCTGGCCCATCGCGCGTTCAGAACGAGCCACGGACTCCTCCCGTGCCACGGTGGAGGTTTCGTGGCCGCCGCCGCTGATGCATGCCTGCTGGATTTGAAGGAGGAGTTGGGCGCCGAAGGATTTTTGCAGCCGCTTGGCACGGTGTCGCGCCGTCCGAGACAGCGAAGGGGACGCTCGCGGCATTGTGTTTGTCTGTTGTTCGTAATGCGTTGGACGAGTTCGGGTATGAGGACGTATTCATCATCAGTGCGCTCCCATACACGCACACACACACACCCTTATGCGTACATGCGCTCGCACCTTCACACACTTGTATTGGGGAAGTCTCGAGCGGGGGCTTCGTCAGTAACTGAGTTGCAAGGGCGTCCCAGGCGGGATTATCCTATTGGGTCCGCGCTTCATGCTTTTAAGTCGAGGCGGATATCCGAATCCTGTAACTTTCGTCACTCTTGGATCATCGAGTCGCCAGAGCTCAATTTTCAGTCCTGGTTTCAAGTGCCTGGTGCCAGCTGTGGGTTACTTCGGGGTCGCCTTGCTCTCCGAATTTCTTGTGATGGACTAATTTTCAGTGTCCGGGGCCAACTGTAAGCCACTTCGGGCTCTTCCTGTTCCCATAGTTCAACTCCCAGGATTCATTCTACGCGCGGGTCCCAGCATCCCTGCCATCCCTGACATCCTAGCATCCCTGGCATTTTGGCGTCCTGGCGTCACTAGTATCTCGGGTGTCCCTGGCATCCTGGCATACCTGGCATCTTGAGATCCCTGACGCTCTGGCATCCAGGCAGAGGCCCCGCAGGTTTGATAGAGTCTCACAGGTCTCGCAGGTCCCACAGGTCGCACAGGTCCCTGGCGTATTGGTATCCTAGCATCCTGGTTTCTTGCATCCTGGCTCCTAGCATCCTGGCATCCTGGCGTCTTAGCATCATCACCGTCGCTAGTCGTCGACTGCACGACGTACATGGGTCACCAAGGAGATTTTCATGTGCGGTCTCACGGTTGAAGTAGTTTTCTAGCACGTTGGAAGAGGAGGACAGGGGATTCTTCTTTGAATCATATTGCCGGAATAGAGTTCGTCTAAGGAGGTTCTCATTTGTTTGTGAAGAAACGGTGTGTGCCTGGCCTGGCTGGCCGGCGTTCCCGGGGGGGTTGCTCGGTCTTGTTTCTTCATTGTGGCGTTCTCTGGGGTTGCTTGGCATTGTTTCCTTGTTGTGGCGTTCCTCCGGGGTACTTGTGCTCGTTTCGTTACTGCATTCCAAGGACAACGCCAAGCAACATCAAGCAAAGCAGAGCAATGTCAAGCAATGCCGAGCAGTGCAACACAACGCCAAGCAATACAAAGCACTGCAAAGCAATGCCAAGCAAAAGCACAGCAATGCCAAGTAATGCCAAGCAACGCCAAGCGACGCGAAGCAACGCCAAGCAATGGCGAGCAATGCCAAGCATTGTTGCAAAGCGTCGCCAAGCAGCGCTAAGCAATGCCAAGCAACGCCAAGCAATGTCAAACAATGCAACGCAATGCCAGGCAACGTCAGCCAGTGCAACGCAACACCAAGCAACGCGAAGCACTGCAGAACAATGCAAAGCAGCGCCACGCAACGCCATGCAATGCCGATCAATGCCAAGCAATGCCAAGCAACGCCAAGCGCCGCGAAGCAATGCCAAGCAGTGCCAAGCATTGCCAAGCAATGCCAAGCGACGCCAAGCAGTGTCAGTCAATGCCAAGCAAGGCCAAGCAATGCCAAGCCACGCGAAGCAACGCTTATCAATGCCGATCAATGCCAAGCAATGCTAAACAGCGCCAGACAACGCTAAGCAATCTCAAGCAATACCAAGCAACGCCAAGCAGTGCAAAACAGTGCAAAGCAACGCCGAGCAAATGCCAATCAGTGCCAATCAACGCCAAGCGCTGCCAAACTTCGCCAAGCAATGCCAAGCAACGGCAAGCAACGCCGAGCGATGCCAAGCAGTGCAGAGCAACGCCAAGCAAATGCAGAGCAGCGCGAATCAACGCCGAGCAATGCCAAGCAAAGCCAAGCAGAGCCAAGCAGAGCGCCCATGCAATAGGGAAGCTTGCCTACATGGGATCGCCTCGTGCTAGTTGTCCACTTGTCCTGAGACCCGTTGACTTTCATGCCGGACCCTGCGAGGCCCCAGGGCTGTGCTTGGCTGAGAGCACACAAGCGGTCACTATATTAAATGAAGATAGTAAATCTGGACAGTTCGAGGCCAATGTTTTTGCAACGTTCCAGTTCCAAGTTGCTGGAACCCAGAAGTTCGGAAAAAAAGTTTGGATAACGTTCGGCGACGAAGAAGTTCCAAATATCTGGAGCGCGTGTGAATTGTTCGCGAACTCCCGAATTGGGTTCGAACTGTTTCCGCACTTCCAAATTTTTGTCGGAACTTATTCGGGAAACTTCGTTCCAACTGTTCCAAACTCTGTCGACACATTTAAGTTTTTTTCGATCTCCTCTCCTGGATTTCGATACTCTTTCGAAGTCTCTCCTCGGTTTCCGAACTCGAACTTCTGATTCCCCCCCGCCCTAACCCAAGCCCGAACTTTTTGTTTCCCAGGGGGGAAGCCCATCTCCCCCCCCTCAGCAGCCCCCTTGCAACCCCAGGGGGCCCTCGCTCAGACACGCCCCCCCGTGCATTTCTCGTGCTGCACCCGCGGCGCCCCGCGAGCCCCACCTCACCTCGCCTCCTCTTCCTCCTTCCTCCCCCCCTCCACGACCGGGCGGCCGCGGCCGCGCCGCACCCCCCCCGCCGCCGCGTGCCGCCAGGGTCACGCCCCGCGGCCCCCGAGGATGGAGGCTGCTATCCTTCACGGCCGTCCCCTCCCCGTGTGCCTCTTCCGCCCTCTGCGCGCCTACAGTCGGGGCCCTGAAGAAGGAAGCCCTTTTCGTTGGGGAGGGGCTCCGCGTTCCTTCAGTGTTTCGCAGCTTGCCTCAGGGTTTCCTGATGTTTCCGATCGGGAATCGAAGTTTCACTTATGGAACAAAAAGGAGCCTCGTTCCTGATTTTGGGTTCCTCAGGTCAAGGCCCCGACTGTACTCCGGCACACCCCTCAAACGTTTCTCGAAGAGGCAGAGATCGCGGCATGAACACGAGCTTCTGGCTCTCCGCGCGGGTTTCTTGGATCCGCGCTGCCCCCCCCCCCCCCCCCCCGGCGGCGCCTCTGGCGCCGCCCCTGGCGCGCTCGGCGCGCCAGGGACGGGGGTCCAGCGCAGATCCGAGAGATCCGCGCGGAGCGCCAAACGTTCATGTTTATGCCGTTTTTTATCCTTCCAGTTTCGTGGCCTTCTGGGAAGCTCCACCTAAGGCCCCAGTGGGCGACGACGTACGGTGCAGCATTTTCTCAAGTCGTCACGCCCCTCACACGCTTCGTTGCCCATAGGGAGCTGCACCTACGTCGTCGGTAGGCGCCGACGTATGAGGTACCAGCCCCCAACGTGGCACACCTTCCACGCGCTTCGTGGCCCCGCAGGGAGTCGACATGCGATGCGGTCCAGTGGTCGCCGACGCATGGCGCCGCCACGCCCATTCTGCTACACCGCTTACACACACACACTTCGTGGCCCCGCAGGCAAACGCACCTGTGCTCTCAGTGCGGCCCTAGCGGCAGGGCCCGCGTGGCTGCGCCGCCCGTTTCGGCACACCCCTCACGATGATCATGCCCCCAGGGGGGACTCCACTTACGGCGCCAGCGGGGCGGCGTGCAAGGCGGCGCTGCCCACCGTGGTGCGTCTTGCACATGTTTCGTGGCGCCATACAGTCGGGGCCCTGAAGAAGGAACGCTTTTCGTTGGGGAGGGGCTCGGTGTTCCTTGATTGTTCGACAGCTTGCCTTAGATCTGCCTTAGGTTTTCGATGGGAAATCGAAGTTTACCTCATGGAAAAAAGGGGGCCTCGTTCCTTACTGAGGGTTCCTTAGGTCAACGCCCCGACTGTATGGAGCGCCCCAGTTGCAGCCCCAGTTGCAAGGCCTGCGTGGCAGCTCCGCGCGCTGCTGCGTACCTCCGCGAGGACTGCGGCCCCACAGTGGGCTCCGCCTGCGGCCTCCCGCGGGAGGGTTCCCACGGGATCGCGCCGCCCCCTTCGGCACACACTCTCACGAGGATCGCGGCCCTCTATGGCGGAGTTTCACCGACGGTCTCCGTGGGGATGTTCGCAGGCGTACTTCCGCCGATTTGGCCCCAGCGGGACAAGTTTCGCGCATTTCCCAGCGAATTTCTTCTTATCCTCACACGTCTCGCGCCCGTCAGCGAGCTCCGCATACGGCCGTAGTTGGACAATTTGCATGCGCCATCGCCCAATTCGGCACATCCCTCGCACGGACCGTGCATACAGACGTTCATCACCGACGTTGCATGAAACTGCGCAGGGTTGGGTGTTTCGTTTTTTTTGTTGTGGCGGGGGGGGGGTTGCGGGGGACACGTCCCCGCGGTATGTGTGCACTGAGTGGACGAGTTTGCTGCGTACATGATATGTCTACCACCGCCTTGAGATGTCGGCGAATGCCAAGTCACTGAACATTCTTTGTTCCGTTTCTTCATTTCTCTGATGCTACGTTACGCCATGCTATTCCAGTCTATGCGGCGCAAAGCTTGCCATGCTTCGGAGGACACCAACTATACACCAACACCGATCCTGGCCCAGGATCACCCTGGGCCCAGGATCGGTGTATATGCCTTCTTGCGCAAGGCAGGAGGGCGTATACACCGATCCTGGGCCCAGGGTGATCCTGGCCAGTATCGGTGTTGGTGTATAGTTGGTGCCTTCCTAATGCTATGCCCGCATTGGTTCGTCCCTCCTCTTCCCCCTCTCTGTTGGCCCCCGCCTCCCCCAGCGACGACTGGATCGACGGAAGAAAGCTCGGGTCGACTGTGCGAACAGGGGCGCGAAAGGTCCCCGCGTGAGGCCGCGCGAACGCACCCTCGTCTCCAAATGTAGCGCGTCGCGCTGGCGACCCGCGTAGGTCACCGCGAAAGATCGCTGTGTCATCTTGCGTAAGACCCAAGAAACGTTGACCCCGGAAGAACAGAAAGCTTTCGCAGACGGACGTGAAGCGCGAGATACTGTTCATCTACTCCTGAGGTGTGCCACGCGAGATGTATGGCACGATCTAGAGCAAGATTTCTGTCAGGCGATCTAATCTGTAATGGGTGCTTCGGCCCCAACCCGCGGCACCTACAGGGTGCGCAATGCGGGTCGCAGTCGCAGTCGCAATCTTGCGTAAGACCCATTTGTTCGCGTTGCTCAGCTGGGCAGGTGGGAGATGTCATTGTGCACGTCAGCCTGGTGGACGAGCACGGCAAGCAGCGACCGGTGCCCGGGGAAGAGCCGCGCTCCGACGCCTCACTCTGTGTTGAAGTCGGGCGGTGGCGAAGCGATGCGCTCTCTGCCCCCGGGAGGAGGTGGCAGGTCCGAACATGTCCTCGGCATTGGCGGGTTCGTGGTGTGCCCTGCTGGGGAGGAATCAGGTGCGACGATCGGATTTTGCGGTTGGCGTTGGAGAGGTTGCGTGCGCTGTGGTTGCCGGCCCCGTTGTAACACGCTATCCCCCACCTTGGGGATAGCGTGCACCGAAGAATCCCTGGCAGGGGGTAGCGTGCGCAGAAGGAGCCCTCGCGGGGGGATCGCCTCGCAGGGATAGCGTGCCTTTCGGATACCGATGTTGCACTGTACCTTTCCAACGCCAGCCGTAAGTTGTTTTTGTCCGCAGGGTCTTGTGGTACATCCATTGGCGAGGGTCATGTCCCGCTGACGCCCCTCGTCCTCTTCCTCCTCTTCAGCCGGGGGTTGATCGATGACTGGGGCGGGTGATACGGTAGAGGGAAACAATTACTGAACACTCCCCCTCCCCCCCAAACTCAATGTCGGCACGCGCGGGGGAGACTGCGGTCGAAGTGCATCTCATCAGACTCACCGCCAACTTTGAACATTGGGGGGAGGGGGAGGCGTGGACCGTTGAAAGTGGCATGTGTTCGCTAATTTGTTCCGAGGCCTGTATGATGTGGGGTATTGTGACGTGTGTGAGCGACGGGCTGCAGAGCAGCTTAGTTGTTGGGCCGAGGGCTGCCGTTGTAGCCCTCGCCACCCTCGCGGAGCTCGGCAGCCTGAGTCCTCCGAGGACCTCGATTGGCCAACCGACCGCCCTTCTCCGCCTCCACGCCGACAGGAGGAGGAGGAGGAGGAGAAGCAGCAGGAGGAGGAGGAGGAGCAGGATGAGGATGATGATGAGGAGGAGGAGGAGGAAGAGGAGAAGCGGGAGCAGGAGGAGGAGGAGGAGGAGGGGAGGAGGGGAGAGAGGAGGAGAGGATGAGGAGGAGGGAGAGGAGGAGGAGGAGGAGGAGGGGAGGAGGAGGAGGAGGAGGGAGGAGGGAGGAGGAGGAGAGGAGGAGGAGGAGGGGGGGAGCAGACCCGGGGGGAAGATTCCGCGGGAGCAGACGGAGTAGGAGCCGAAGCAGGAGCAGGCGGTCCAGCAGGACGAGGAGGAGCGGAGCGGGGCCGCTGCGATCCAAAGCACCTCGACGAGGAGGTCGAGGATTAAGTCGGGTCTGTCTCTCTACAGGAGGAGGAGGAGGAGGAGGAGGAGGAGGAGGAGGAGGAGGAGGAGGAGGAGGAGGAGGAGGAGGAGGAGGAGGAGGAGGAGGTGGAGGGGAAGGAGGAGGGGAAGGAGGAGGAGGAGGAGGAGAAGGAGAGGGTGGAGGAGGAGGAGGAGGTCGAGGATTAAGTCGAGGAACATTCCAAAATAGTTTCAGAATAGTCCAGGGGCGTTTTTTTGGGGGGACTGTTTTTGACCAGTTTGGAATCTGTTTTGCCCATGTCTTATTTTACAGCCGAACTCCGCCTGTAGGAGGACACGCCCGACCTTGGTCGAGGAGGACGAGGCCGAGGCGGGCGAGAACATCAGAGGAGGTAACCCCCCCCCCCCCCCAGGCGGGCCCCTCGGGGTGCCCCTCGGAGGTGGCAGCGTCACCGCCGCGCTGCCTCGGGCTGCCCAGGCTCGCCTCCTGCCGGTGCCCCTTCTCCCCCTCCTCCTCCGGGCCGGCTGCACCGCCAGAGCGGGGGCAGCGCTCACCGGCGGCGAGCGAGGGGGGGGAGGGGGAGAGGGAGAAGGCCTTCTCAGAAGGCGGCGGGGCCTCCCAGAGGCCCTCGCGCCTCCCGGGGACGGTTTCTGCGCCCTCGGGGAGAAGGGGGGGGGGACCCGTTGAACGAAGGATTGCAAAAAAACCCTTCGTTGAACGCAATCCTGCGTTCAACGAAGCCTTCGGGGAGAAGGGGGGGGACCTCCGTTGAACGAAGGCTTTTTTTTGCAATCCTTCGTTTTTTTGCAATCCTTCGTTCAAGGGGGGGGGACCCCCGAGCCTTCCGAGATGGCCTTCTCTCCTTCTCGCTCGCGGTTATTTCTCTTGTTCTGCTCCCTGCTTTGCCGATCGGCGGGCGCGGGCCCTCGCTCCGCTCCCCCCCCTCTCCCCCCCTATGGTTACGTCGGGCCTGTCCCCCATACAGGTGGGGGATTTTCGACGAAACAAAACCCCCCAGAATAGTCAAGAAGTATTTCAAAAATCGTAGGGGGGGCTATTTTTTTTGAGTATTTTTGACCTTTTTGGAGTTTTTTTGGGGGTATCTTTGTTTTTTCGTCGAGAATCCCCCTGTAGGGGGACACGCCCGACATAACTCTACGGAGCACATCCAGGCTGATTTTTTTGGCGCCTGCTTCGAGCAGGCGGAGCCTCCCCCCATGTAGGACGCACTGCTGCAGACAGTCGCACCAGAGGCAGGTGTCCAGAGCAGGGCCCCCCCCCCCTCTTCCGCCCAGTGTCGAAACGCCGAAGGAGAAACCTCGGCAGAAAAATCTGGAATGCCAAAATATCAAGGGCAGAAAAAACGCCCCTACCCTGGTTTACGAGGCGCTGTGCGCTGAATCTCCTGTGGGCTGACAGGGTAAACCCTGCGTGATGTGCCGCGTCCTGGCGGCTCTAGGCTTTGGGGTTTCCCAGGAGGTTTACAGACCGCGCACTTGTAACCCAGGGTAGGGTCGTTTTTTTTCATCCCTCAAAAATAAAATGTCCAAACCTCTCACAGTCTTCGAGAAGCCGAGCTCGGGTCACCACACAGTGTGCGTTCTGGCACGATCCGCAGGCGAGCTCCACCCTGCCGCGGGATTCCTCCAGCTCTGGTCGAACTAAGAGCTCTACGAGGCTCACATCCCCCCCCCCGCTCGCCGCCGAGTTTCGGGGGGCGGGGGGGCGGCTCATGGGGGGAGAGCATCGTCAGGAGGGGAAAAAACACGGACACAATGAATCGTCGATGCACCAGAACATGTGGGAAACGATGGGAAGTGGGTGGGGGGGAAGACAAAAGCCCAGAAACTGTGAGAAAATATGGGGACTCCGGTTATCTGGGAAAATATGGGGAATCTGGGCCGATTCCTTCCTGACGTCGGCGGCGAGGGAGAGGGGGAAATGAGAAGGAGAAGGCCTTCTCAGAAGGCGGCAGAACTTCTCAGAAGCCCTCGGGCCCCTCGGGCCTTCTGAGAAGCTTTTTCTGTCTTCGGGGAAGGCTTAGAAAACTTCTCAGAAGTCCGGGGGACTTCCGAGCCTTCTGAGAAGGCACGCCTCTTCTCGCTTCCCCCCCAGGCTCGCCGCCTATGACGTCCCCTATCACAAGGGTGGCCCTGGGCAAGAGGGGCCTCTGGTTGCGCGGGTCCTGGGGGGCCCCGGCGGGAGGGGGGAGGGAATCCAGGGGCACCGTTCGTCACATTAGCGATCTTGGCGTTCTTGTTTGTTCTTGTTTGTTCTTGTTTGTTTGTTTGTTTCGTTTGTTTGTTTGTTTGTTTGTTGTTGATTCGGTTCATCTGAACACGGGCGCAGGACTACATTGCTGCATTTTGCATTGGACGGTCCGTTCATCTAACACCTGGAGAGGCACACATGAGACGAGAGCAGAGGAGCAGTCGGAGCGGAGCCCAGGTGCGAGGCTCTCCCTTCAAGTCGACCCACATCCAGTACGTGACAGCCTTAATCGCTTCCAGTGCATTGGGCGGGAGCGGCAGTTAAAGCCCATGTTCGGTCCGCGTGTTTGTACGGCAGGGGGCACGCGAGCGCAGCGTCCACACAAGTCGCCTGGTGTAGGCAGATGTTGTCCGTGTGCGGCTTCTGCCAAAGCTGCAGCGTCAGGTCGTGTGTTCCGAGGGTGCTCCAGTCAGTATGCTTTGGCCACGAAGGGCCCGCTGGCCCCGAGCTTGACTTCCAGCCCGACTCCCCCTTCCCCCCTTCCCCCCTCTCCCTCTCCCTGTCCTCCACCCCGCTCTCTCTCTCTCGCGCTCATCCTCCCACCCCCTCCCCTCCTTCTACCCGCCATTTTTGAGTTCCCTCCTGCTCACGTATGAGTCGGGGAAGGTGGTGATTCGTGCCGATGCGTAGGACTATCCCTTCTTTGCCTCTGCTATTTTTCTCTGTCTGGATCTCTAGAATGGCGCGGTTGTCATCGTCAATGTGTTTGCGTTCATTCAGTTCGGGGTTGGATGCCAGATGTGACACACCCATCTTGCCCCTCTCCTCTCTTTTCTCCCGACTCTCCTCTCTTCGTCCGTTTTCTGTGTCCGCTCGGCTCTTCCGCTCTCTCTCTTCTCTCCTCTCTTGCTCTTGGACCCTGTGCCTTTCGTCATCCCTATGCCTTTGCGTCCCTTCTGCTGCCGTGGTTCTATTGGGGTGAGAAGCCCTCGTCTGTTTATCATTAATGTGTGTTTTAGGCTCTCTCTCTCTCCTCTCATGCTAAGGCGAAGACCTCTGCCAACGAGTACCTCGGCTCGAGCGTCCACGTTTGGTTCCCCGACCGCCCGTAATACACACACACGCTCTCTCTCTCTCTGACTCTCTCTTTCTCTCGGGTGTTGTCGGGCATGAAAAGAAGTACGTCAAGCATACCGACCAACACCGCCGGCGAACTCATTGCGGAACCGCCCCCTCGCTTTCGATATGCCGCTGGCAGCTGCATGCCTCGCAGCCACCGCGCGCGAGCACGCGTGCATGGGGTGGGCCACCTCCCTCCCCCTTTTTCCCGCCCCCTGCTTGCATATCTCCCCACCTACCCCCCTCCTATTTCCACCTCCTTCCGTCCATCCCCCGCCCTCCCAGCCCCCCCCCTCCGCTTCCCCTCCTCTCCGGCCAAACGTCGAGGAGCTCTGGGACGGCTGCATACCCCAGAGTTTTTTTTTTTCGACTCGACTGCAGGAGCCGCTTTCCCCCCCATGCCCTTCGCTCCCCGCCTCTCCTTCCCCTCCCCCCCGTCCTCCCCCGTGTCTCCTCCCCCTCGCCCCCCCTGCTCCCGTCCCTGGTGTCATCCCCCAGCCAACCCGGCCTCTGGCCTCGGTTTGCTGCGTCTTCTGGAGAAGGAGAGGGACGAGGAGAAGGAGGAGCAGGAGCAGGAGGTGATGGGCTTGTTTTCCACCACCATTATTAGATGTAGGAGAGCGGTAATGATGATGATGATGCTGATGATGATGATGATGATGGTGGTGGTGGTGATGATGATGATGATGATGATGATGATGGTGGTGATGATGATGATGATGATGGTGGTGGTGGTGGTGGTGATGATGATGATGGCTGATGATGATGAGGAGGAGGATGAGGAGGAGGAGGAGGAGGAGGAGGAGGAGGAGGAAGAGGAGGAACAGGAGGAGGTGGAGGAGAAGGAGAAGAAGGAGGAGGAGGAGGAGGACCCCCTCCCCCTCCTACTTGTGGTGGTGGTGGTGGTGGAAAAGAAAGCCCACCAGGAGGGCGATGCGGTGATGAGCCGCGGGCCCGCATCTTTCGGGCGGCGGCCAGCACGGCGGCCGCAGCGGCCGGGCGGCCGCCCTGCGCCTCGAGATCGGCTCGATCGCGCCGGTCGAGGCATCGCTCAGGGCTCGTGTTTCTTCTCATGCTTGCAAGTACGTCGGCTTCGGCACCGCCTGATCCCAAGGCTTTGCCTCATCCCGGCCTCTGCCCGAGGCTGCGCCCCCCCTTTTCCTCCCCCATCTCTGGTTAGTTCAAGCCTCGCGCGGCCCGCTCAGCTTCGACCGGAAGAGGTGCGCTCTCGACCCGCGCATCAAAAAATCATGTTTCTTCTCATGCTCCTCAGGTTGCTCGAAGTCCGCCTCACGCAGAATGAAGTGATGGTGATGCTCCTGCCATTGTCCCTGAGCAGGGCCTGTTTTCGGAATGGTGGTGATCACGCTTATTTCCCCTGAGCTGGGTCTTGTTCTGGATTGGTGCTCAGTTCGTCCGCCCCCGGGCAGGGCCCTGATTTGGAATGGTGGTCATCAGTTTTGCTGCCCCTGCGCATGGCCTCGTTTTGGATCGGTGGTGCTCAGTTTGCGGATCCAGTTGTGGCGTGATGGTGATTTGTATGCTACTGCCCCTGCACAGGGCTGTGTTCTGGAATGGTGATGATCACTCTTACTGCCCCAGAGCAGGGCCTTGTTTTGGATTGGTGCTCAGTTTGTTCGCCCCTGGGTAGGGCCTTGTGATGCAATGGTGTTGCGATTTCTGGTCGATGGTTGATCTGTATGTTCTGGGGGCAGGGCCTTGTCCTGGAACGCTGCCCCTTCCAATTTTTTTACCGAGCTATCCGCGAACTTAGGCCGATGGTGGTGATCAGTGTGGCACTGCCCCTGGGAGTGCCTTTTCCTGAATGGTGGCGATCAATATGCTACTGCCCCTGCGTTTGGCCTTGCTCTGACATGTGTGGCACTGCCCCTGGGCAGTGCCCTTCCCTAAATGGTGGCGATCAATATGCTACTGCCCCCGGGTTTGGCCTTGCTCTGGCATGTGCGGCACTGCCCCTGGGCGGTGCCTTTCCCTGAATGGTGGCGATCAATATGCTACTGCCCCTGGGTTTGGCCTTGCGCTGGCATGATGTTGGTCCGACTGTTCTTGCCCCTGTGCTGGGCCTTGTTCTGAACCGGTCGTGCTCGGCGCCGGGCCTCGTCCTCGACGGGTGCTCAGCAGCTGCCTGTTTCCTGGCTCTGCCCGAATCTGGGTCTGCCGAACATTCCCGGTGGCGAGAAGGAGAAGGCCTCTTCAGAAGGTTCGCAAGTCCCTGGACCTTCCAAGAAGAAGTGCTCTACGCCCTCTTCGAAGACGCAGGAAGCTTCTCAGCAGGCGCGAGGGCCTCCGAGAAGTCCCGCCGCCTTCCGAGGAGGTCTTCTCCTCCTCGCCTCCCCCCCTCGCTCGCCGCCGATTCTCGGTGGCGTGCGCAGCTCGGAGAAGGTGTGTTTCACCAGCCGTTGGCGGAGTGACCGGCGCGCCGCTTCCCGCTCCTGCACGGGAAAAGCTCTCCCCGGGCGGCCGCGCCGCTCGCGCACGCCTCCCGGCCCGCCCGGCGGCGGCCGCCGGGATCTCTCCGCGGGGCGCTGCGGCCAGCACGGCTCTGCCCCAGGGCGCTGGGCACGCGCGCGCTGTTGCTCCTCTCTTCTCCTGTCGTGGCGCCAGCATCGCGGAGCGGATTTGGTCTCGTTCGGGAAACAGCAGGCTGGGCCCAGAGTGTCCTGGAGACTTTCGTCCCGGATTTCGACATGAAATTTCATGCGGATCTTTTTTGGCCAGGAAGCCAGGAAGGAAGACTAAAACAAATCCACGTGAAATTTACTTCGTTTTTCGCCTGCCGTTTCGGGTTTTTGCTTTGACGGAGATCCACGCAAAAACCCGCTGCAGCACGTCTGCGAGGTCGGCGCAGAGACTCCCCTGCCCCCCTTCGCCTTTTTGCCCCCCCTCCGTGCATGTTCGCGTCGTGTCGCGCAGCGCGGGGTGTGGCTACTCGCAGCCGCGCCTCTGCGGCTGCTGCGCGCCTCTGTCCTGCAAGCGCGGCCGAGGCTCCAGGCTGGCGTTGGCAAGCAGGGCTGCAGTCGTGGACACTCTGGCTCGCACTGGCGCCCCCCGAGCCGCAGCTGTGCAGCCTGACCCGGGGCGGAAACGCCGGCCGGCAGTTCGGCTCGCGGCCTGCCTCGGCGCTCCTCCGGCCCCAGCCCCTTCTCCTCCCGTGTCCCCCCGCGTCTCCGCTAATCCTTTGCTCGGAGGTGGACAGACCTCCTACCCTGACACGTCGATTCAGGAATTGGCCGTTGTCGGTTCGGGAGGGGGCGTCGCGGCCGTCATCTTTGCGGGTCCGGGTCCGTCGGTTTCGGTCCCAGGCCGTTTTCACTAAGGGGAGGTTTACTAAAGGGAGGCTTGTCCACCGCCGATATGCATGGGCTGCGTGTGTGGGCTCAGCTCATTGCCGCGGTTGGCCGACCCCACGGGCCGCTCTCGTCGCCTGGGGCTCACCCTCTCGCCGGATGGAGTCAGTCCCCCCCAATGCTGCCTGGGGCACCGCCGTGCCTCGACAAGCAGATCGGTGAGCACTTGCACCCATTCCAGCATATAACCGTCCTGCTGGCTTACTAGCATTGCCCCTTGTCGAGCCGTGGTTTCGTCCCTCCCCCTCTTGCTTCCTCCTCTCGTGCAATAGAAATCTGGGCAGTTTGCTATCAGCTGCATGGCCGCCTGGGATCCAACCTGTTTTTTGTGTGGTGTGCGCTGTTCTTACGACTGTTGTGGAGTGATGCGCAAGCATATGAAGAGTCGGTTGGACCACGTGAAAATGCACCCGCTGCGCCACTGTCAGTACCCCTCACCTCGCTTTTCCTCCTCCTCCTCCTCCTCCTCCTCCTCCTCTCCCATCTCCCATCCTCGAGGCCGGTGCTTCTTACTTTATTAGTGAATTTAATTGGTTTTAGGGTTTTAACAAATGGTCGCAGCCACGCAGAGGGCGTGCGTAGCGACGCCCCAAATGCTCGGTCTCCAGTACTTCTACGTGGCGGCGCCCCCGCAGGCACGCAGAGGGCACGCGTGGCGACGGGGGCGTCGCCACGCAGAGCTACAAAAGACCAAACATTTTGAAAACCAATTGTTTCCACTACTAAAGTAGCTTCTGGCAAGGAGGAGGAGGAGGAGGAGGAGGAGGAGGAGGAGGAGAGGAGGAGGAGGAGGAGGGGCGGAGGAGGAGGGGAGGAGGAGGAGGAGGAGGAGGACCTCTCGATTGGGGTTGCGGACCTGCATCGCGATCTCATCCCATTCGCCTCGTGAGGCGAACGGCCCGCGCGCGAGCTCACACCATATGTACTGATGCGTGTGCTCTCGTGGAGAAAGTCAAGGAGGGATCTGAGGAGGAGGAGGAGGAGGAGGAGGAGGAGGAGGAGGAGGAGGAGGCAGATGACGAGGAGGAGGAGGAGGAGGAGGAGGAGAAGGAGGAGAGGAGGAGGAGGAGGAAGGAGGAGGAGGAGGGGTGGAGACGAGAGGAGGAGGAGGAGGAGGAGGAGGAGAAGGAGGTGAAGGTGGGGGTGGAGGTGGAGGAGGAGGAGGGAGGAGGAGGAGACAGGAGGACGAGGAGGAGGCGGAGGCGGAAGTTGAGGAGGAGAGCCAGGAGAGAGAGGATGACTATGATGAAGAGGAGGACGAGGGGGAGGACGAGGATGAGGACGATGATGATGAGGAAGAGCAGGAGGACGATGATGATGATGATGATGATGATGATGATGATGATGATGATGATGATGACGATGATGATGATAATGATGATGATGATGATGATGATGCTGATGCTGATGATGATTATGATGACGATGCTGATGATGCTGATGATGCTGATGCTGATGCTGATGCTGATGAGGAGGATGATACTGAGGACGAGGATGAGGATGAGGATGATGATGATTATGCTGCTGCTGCCAATGATGATGATGATGATGATGATGATGATGATGATGATGATGATGATGATGATGATGATGATGATGATGATGATGATGATGATGATTATGATGATGCTGATGATGCTGATGCTGATGCTGATGCTGATGCTGATGATGCTGATGATGCTGATGATGCTGATGATGCTGATGCTGACGCTGATGCTGATGCTGATGCTGATGCGGAGGATGAGGATGATGACGAGGATGAGGATGAGGATGAGGATGAGGATGAGGATCAGGATGAGGATGAGGATGAGGATGGTAATTATGCTGCTGCCGATGATGATGATGCAAATGACGATGATGATGCTGCTGCTGATGATGATGATGATGATGATGAGGAGGAGGAGGAGGAGGAGGAGGAGGAGGAGGAGGATGAGGAGGACGAGGATGGGGAGGGGGACCATCAGGATCAGCGGGAGCAGGAGGGCGACCACGAGGTGGAGTGCCTCGCCGCCTGGCGTCCTGCGCCCCCCCCACAGGCTCACCAGCACCCTGAAGCGGCTGGAGGACTTCAACCGCTCGACGGAGCTGGGGCTGAACGCGAGGCTCCGGCGAAAGCCGTCCCCGAGTGGGTTGCGGTCGGGAACTCTTGCTCAGCGTGTCTCTGCGGAGGCCCTGGCGACACGCTCTGCTTTCGAAGCGGATGGCGCGTCGCTCCGCCCCGCGGGGCGGGAGGCTGGGAAGGGTTCGGCACGTTGACGCCTCGGGACCGCGAAGTGGATAGCGTGTCGCTCCAAACCGTAGTGGACCGACCAGACCCGTCCTGGCGACGCGCTCCGAAAGTTCCCGACCGTGAAGGCAACCGTCACACGCGTCGGACAAGTTCAGACCATCCGTGCCCTTGCTGTTTCGGTGGCGAGGCGCGATCCCATGGATGCCCGATCCCACGGATGCGTTCCGCCGCAAGGCATCCGCGCAGAGCCGCTCGGTGTCCAGGAGTCGCGGCCGAGGAGTCTGGGCGGAGGACGTGGATATATGGATATGTTTTGTCTTTTTGGGGTCCTCTTTTGGTCGCTTCTGGGGCGGCCTTGGGAGGTGGAGAGCCCTCGTGTCCGCAGACCTTTTAGTTTTCAGTGGAAGCTGGCGTGGGCGATTGGGGAGCCATCCTGAGGCCTCAAAAGCCCACTGTGAGCGAAAAGGCGAGAGGACCAACTCATGGAATCATGTTACAGGTTTTTGATGGAGTTGGCCCTCTCGGGAGCCTCTTGGCTCTTGGGGGCTATCTTGGACCATTTGGGGCCGGGGCCTCTTGAGGCTTTTTTTGGGCCATCTTGGGTCTGCGGGCTGTTTTGGGGCCATCTTGGGTCTGCCACCTAGTGGTTCAAGTGGCTTCTGCCATTCCGCCGACCCCCAGCGGAGTACAGATCTCCAGTGCGTTCGGTGGGCTATCTTGGAGCTGGAGTGGCTGTGTGTAAGGAGGAGGGTGGATGGAGGAAGAAAGGAAGGAATTTAGGGCTGCAAGGGGGCTGCTGGAGGTTGTCACGAGGCTGCTTGAGGGCTTCTGGGAGGCTTCCGGCGGAGGCTCTGGGGAGCCTTTCGTCGGCTCCTGGTGGGCTCGTGGGGCTGGCTGGGCGCTTTGTGAACGAGCCTCCAGGATGGATATGCGGGTCTCCTGGAATATCTTTCAGGGTTCTCTCAGAAGGCTTTTGGGGGCATCCTGTTGGCTTTTTGGGGCCTGTTGGGGGCCTTTCGAGGGCCTCTTGGAGGCCTCTTGGGGGCCTCTTGGAAGCCTCTTGGGGGCGCCTTGGGGGTCTCGGGGGGGCTGCTGGGGTGATGTCGGGGGAACATGCTCGAGATGTCAGTTCTTATTGCTTCTCTTGGGCCTTTCTCGGGGCGCTCGTGGACCGTCTCAGGGGCCTCTTGGGGCCTTCTTGGGGCCCTTTTGGGCCGTCGTGGGGCTGTATTGGACCGTCTTCGGGCACTCTTGACAGCCTCATGCGTTGTCTTGGGGCGATCTTGCCCCTGTGGGCCGTAGTGGACGAAGTGGGGACGAAACAGGTGGGCATGTTGAAAACGTACGTTTTCCTGGCGGAGTGGGACGATTTCGCGTCTTATGGCCTTTTCGTTGGTCCTCTGGGAGCACTCTTGGGCCGTCCTGAGGGCCTCGTGCGTTGTCTTGAAGCCACTCTGGACCCCCGCGGGGCTACCCTGGGCCGTCTCGACGCTCTCTTGGACTGTCTCTGCGCTCTGCTTGGGCCCCCTTGGGCCGTTTTGGGGTTCTGGAGAGCCCCCGAGGTGCGTTGACGAGCTTGCACTCCCCTCCTCCCCTAAAAAGGTTTTTGGACCCATGGGGAGGGGTAAATGGGGAGAAGGAGGAGGAGGCGGGGGGGGGAGGAGGAGGAGGAGGAGGAGGAGGAAGAGGAGGAAGAGGCGGAGGAGGAGGAGGAAGAGGAGGAGGAGGAAGAGGAGGAGGAGGAGGCGGAGGCGGAGGCGGAGGCGGAGGCGGATGAGCAGGAAGAGGAGGAGGAGGAGGAGGAGGAGGAGGAATAACAACAATCATATGAATAACACTAACAATAGTAACAAGAGGAGGATGAACACTGATTATGAGAAGACGGCTACTGATCCACACCATGAGAAAACATTAACATCAATAAACATAATACGAACACTCATAGTAAGCATGCTACTAATAACAATAAGCACAAAGCGACTACTGATCATGAGACGAAGAAAGAATCACAAGCATACGAATAATAGTGGTACTACTACTGGTAAGACGAATTTTACTAGTAATCCTAATAAGACGAGAAATAAGAAGAAACATGGTACGCATATGAATAATGATATAATGAAGTCTACCAATATTAAGCACACTCGTAGTAGTAGTAGTAGTAGTAGTAGTAGTAGTAGTAGTAGTAGTAGTAGTAGA